AATCAGACAGGCCAAGAAAATTAGAAACAACAGCAATCAATTTAATTGCAAGGCTAATTCTCTGAGATGATAGAAAGTGAGTCAGCCAAGGAGAAAAGGATAGAGAACTTGTACAAATTATAGCCAGAAATTTCCTGGAAGATGCTTGGCAAATGCCCGTGAATGAATCTACAAAGACAATGAGAAAGTTGCAAAGTTACTTTATTATAAAATGATCAATAATAATTTCAAGGGTTGGATTTAATAATAAATAATGTGGTCTTATAAATTAAATTTAAAGTCAACATCTTGGGATCAATATCAAAGAGAATATAACTGAACTGAAATCGAGGATCTAAATGGTATACCTCCTGGTTTCACTGAAGAAATTGCAGAAAATGGACCCTAATTGACAGCCAAATCAGACAGGCCAAGAAAATTAGAAACAGCAGCAATCAATTCGATTGCAAGGCTAATGCTATGAGATGATAAAAAGTGAGTCGGCCAAGGAGAAGAGGAGAGAGAACTTGTACAAATTATAGCCAGAATTTTCTTGGAAGATGCTTGGCAAGTAAATGAATCTACAAAGACAATGAGAAAGTTGCAAAGTTACTTTATTATAAAGTGATCAATAATAATTTTAAAAATTAGATCTAATAATAAATAACATCTCTTATAAATTAGATTTAAAGCTAACATCTTATTATCAGCATCAAAAAAAATTATTCTCTTTAAATCATTTACTTTTTTGCTTTTTATCTGTTCTAAAATTAAGTTTCAATCATTTACCTCTTCTTTTGAGGAAAGTTTTTCTCAATATTCCTTATTTCTAAAGAATTTTAAATTTGAAAAAAATAATTTAATTAAACTCTGGATGACTTAGGGATTCTTTCACCGACCTAATAAAAACTATGCCACAATGGAAGACATTGATTTAAAATTGTTTGTTTAAGGTGATACTTTCGTTTGGGAGATTGGTTGCAAAATATTTTAACAACATATATTTAGTAAGACTTTAACGGAGTCATAATATAACGTAATGTTACACATTAAACTTTTAGTTATTTGTCCCATTCAAGTACTTAGTGGGATCATTTGTCTCCATTTTGTATTGAAGGTAACTGGATTTGTTACTTATAGTTAAGAGATGAATTTGGACACGCCACCTTAATACATCAATAAGATTAAAAGATAATCAAAATTAAAGAAAAAGATAAATAGTGTACCTGCAGGTTTAGTGGACAAAATTGAAGAAATGGATGTCCATAACCAAATTAAAAGTAGC